TCATCAACATGGGACCAGAGAATTACGGCGTAACGGTCTAACTTGCTACATATCATATTAGTACATCAAGTAAAAAATGCAATAAAATGGAAGATGAAAAGCAAAGGAAAATAGGCTTAAAGAAGTAAAAGGGAGTAAATGTCAAGAAGCATGAGTGAGAAAATAAACTTAATTAAAGAGGTTAAGATGAGGATCATATGTGTATACATCTGTGCCACTCACTTCGAATCTAAACCATGCCACTCACAATCTCAAACCACTGGTTCCTCTTCTCCCCCAGACAACCAACACCTAGTCTGCATCGCCCATCATCACTAAAACCAACAGTCAACCACTTCATACATCACTGCCATGTTTGAATCTGGCCACCTCAAGCCTTTTTCCAGCCTGCATCTACTTCGGCCAACACCCTGTGACAAGGAAATCAGCGAATAGGCATACGCAACACGTGTTGCAGCCAACCGTCTCAGTCAATCAAGGTTCATAACCTCCTCGTCAACCGATTCACCTCTTCTCCATAAAAGTCTTCACCTGAGCCTGACTTCTGCGTTAATCACAAGATGACACCATGGAATACTTTGAAGGTTACGGTGGTCAAACACCAAAACCCTTCTCATATCTTCCATCTTCAATGCTCATCTTTCACAGCCATACAGTAGAACACACCGGACTGCTGTGCAGCACACATCACCCTTAATACACAATCCGATATCACGGCAGCACCACACGTGGAGTAAGCTACCAAAACCCAACTGAGCCTTTTGTATTTGTGTAGAAATTTCACCGGTTACTGAGTTACCAAGGGTAAACCTACTTCCTAGCTAAGTAGTGAAGTGATCAACACACTCAAACACTACACTTTCTATTGTTAACCAACGTACCGTTGAACACCAATCCTGGAGTAACAATTCCCATTCGGTTGGTGAAAAACGCATACCAAATATTCTCAAATTCCTACTCAAACATGTCCAGAAGACTCTATAGTTGATTTTATCTATATGTCCAACAACAGATATTCTAGGATGAATTCAATACATTACATTTCATCTATTCTAAATCTTTCACGTAAATGTACACAAATTTTCACATATGAATAAAATCTACAAAGTGATTCTTTCTTCTATAAAGCAAATCGACACAATTCAGTGATGTAATTAGTAATTGACCAAGTTTTTCCATAATTACACGATTCAATTTACGCCCGATAAGAACTAGGGATAAAGTTTTTGACAAAACAATAAGATGTAAATTGTCTGAACCGTGTAATGTATTTGCGCAACACATTTCGAACTATCTGATCACACACGTACTTGTCATAGGTATTTATATAAAAACTCATGAAGATAAGGAGTGAGAAAATGAAAAGGGGTCAGGTAGGAAGGCTGACTTAAAGGCCAAATAACAATGAAAATCAATAGAGCGAAAAATAATAGTACATCGAACTTGGTTTTTCAATAGTTGAATTTACCAAGGAAGGTTTAATGTGACAACAAATTGTTTATGAACACATAAAGGTGGTTTCAACTTCCTAATAGCTAAGGCTTCAACAAATTTCAGGATCCCTCCCCAACATGTTTTGTAATAAATAGATGTAAAGGAAGTAGCCACATCAATCTTGTGACCTGTCTCAATGATATGTTTGGCGATCGAAGAACTTGGACGTTTGCTACCAACATTTATAGATTCAGGTGATTTAATTTGCTTGTGCCTGTACTGTTATAATTACTTTCTCAATAAACAATATCTTCAATTACATCAAATTTCTCTTCAATATGTGAAGGATATTTGTAGAAGGATAAACCGAACAGTTGAGTAAAGGAATCCAAAAAATAATAAAACAGGGAAAACAATAAAGATGCATCAAATCGTCATGGTGCATCTATCAGATATGTTAACCCATCATCGGGTCATGCTACATAGGTACGCTTATCGACGCTCGACACTTGCCACACATCTTAACCTGAATACTGTTATCGATTCCGTCGGTCAAGAGGCCTCACGGTGATCTCTCAATGAAAGGGGTAGCGAGTAAGTGTATCACTTTCTTTAAGGCTCTATACTTGAACACCTGTAAGCGTAGTAGAGCTTATGGTGAGTTGTGTACGTCGAGTGGTGTCTATCGAGGATTCCAACTATCTCTATTCTTACCAGATGCTGTCACAGACGAAGTCATGTAGGTCTCCTTCTTAACACCTGACTTTACACAGACTGATCATGTCACAGAAGAATCCTTGCTAGATCTTAGGTGGATCTAGAATATGCAAATGACAAATTCCTGTTACGTGAAGACATAAAGAAGATGCAGTCTTCTGGATACTTTGAGTGGCAAATTGAGAATGTTTGGGATGCATTTCTCATCATCAAAATGTATACTGTCGCTTCAAAAATGGTTTTCAGCGGTGCCCCGCCTGAAAATAGTGAGTGAAGTGGTTGAGTAAATTGACCGTATCACCTCTCGTGAATCAGTGACCGACGAAATCTACAAAAGGCCTAACTTTCATCAACCTACGCCACTTATGACCATACCGGGTCAAGTGTACTCAGCTGCAGTTCTCTCCCTCTTATTCTCACTTTTAATTACCTCTCAGATACCAACCAAAGCTCTTACTCTTTCTAACACATCTAAGACCAATAAGTATAAACGTCATCGATCGGTATTCAGCCTATTCCTATGAAGTAAGTCGTTGAGGTAGATGGTGGATTGGCATTAGAGTATTTTTCATTGTATATACCAAAAGAATTGTACAGAATTACGACAGACAAACATCAGACAATTCCATCAGAAATAGTTAAATGCGAAGCTGAAATGACTAAGCAGGCCCACATAGCACCCAACAAACAATTCAAAGCGTGATGAACGCCTTTTTCATTTGTGAGTAGAACCGAAATATAAACCAACCAATGATAATGGATGAAGTTTATCTTAAAGGTGAGTTCATCTGCATCACCACCCCTTCCCCAGAGGAGAAGAAAAATATTACAGGAAGATAAACAGTCATCGAAAAACTTATGAGGAGTGAAGTAAGCTTCGTGTTGAATGCAAGGATCACTATAGGTAGTCCCTTACAAATGATGCTATTTAGAAGTATACTCTATTACTTCATGTAACTTTTGTATCAAATATTTATAGCTTAGGGTGTGGATGTTCAGGGAGACGAACAACTTTAAAATACTATGATGTGCAAACTCAAAAGCAACCCGAGAATTCCTGAACGGTATAGCAATAAATCACCACATCAACCTGGACGCAATAAACGACTCCATTTGGAACAAATCAATTGATTCAAATGCAAGGAAATCGTCGAGGCAAAGAAAAAGGAATACATTCATCAATTAAGTCAAGATAACCCATGTACATCTCACCAAACTCCAGTACTTAAGCAATTAATACAAAAAGAATCCCCTCTCTTCAGTAAAATCCTATCACTCAGAAGTAGCAAAGATCTCCACTATGGTTGCAGCAAATTAATCAATCGCATGTAGAACACAGACACCCCTCCCATAAGTAAAAGTCAACCAATCAGATCAAGGCAACCTTTGTCAATTCAGTCAAATAAGAGTTTCAGTCGATCAGAACAGGATAAGCTTAATCGATTCATTCGAACAAAGAGGATGGTCGAATTACAACGAAGTGACCTCAGCATATTACAAGCAAACAATCATGTAGTTATACACTCCTCTAAGAAAACTAAAGGTAAGAAGTTAACCTATCAGGCTTAGCACACGCCCAGGGGTTCGCTAAGCGACCAATCAAATCGTAATCAGGAAAAAAAACGTTATAAAAATCATGCAAAACCAATTACTTCACTTCTGTCTGATGTATCGATGATGATGTCTAGCACTAAATTGAAACATTCACCAACTAAAAACCCTAGCTTCGAGAACAAATCACTCTGCTCTTAGTCTAATAGTTTTTAACAAGATCTCTGCTGACAGCATACTTGAATAGTTGATAAAACTACTCAGCTATGCAATATCTCCAAATGAATTTTACAGCCAATAGGTAATTCACATATTCTTTTATAATTATCTGGTTGGTGGTATACATGTCTATTCTAATCAGTCAAACAGATTTACGTAGACTGAAGTCATTCAAATATACAGCTGATAAACCTGGCGCCAGAGGAGCGATCAACTGAAGTTGACGTCAATCTTGCCTAGTTAATGACATTTATAAAGTTATGTGAATGACTGCGTATGCTGAATTAAAAATAGATAGTTTTTTTCTCATGAAGTTGATAACATAAAGATACTTATATGCAACTGATTAATAACTTTCTATCCTTGTTACACGGATTAGTAGATATTGAACCTGATTTATAGGGTTTCAATTATATGGTTCACAAATTTCAATCTAAGAACATTTAAGGTATCATGATTTGATCAACCGAAACATATCACTAGCGCTAAAACAACCAATACAGCCCATAGCTTAGTGTATTAGTCAGTAATAGATTGTTAAGCTACACTATTATGAACATTTTTTGAATAATACCTAAAAATAACATCTATTTAGCCAAAAGTGCGAAACTATTTGATCACTGAGGAAAACTAGAAATCTCAGATTTCATGCAAAGCATACTAAGATATTCATTTCAGCTGTTACATAAACAAATCACTTATTGAAGCTTGTAATATCATGTTGTTACACTAAAATGAATTGCTCAACTTCTGTTGGCAAATGCGCTCCTATGGGAATACCTCAATACTACCTGAATATTCATTGTGTTATATCGTGAACTGACAGAAATAGGAAGTATGGATCATTGGATTCCGACCCAGTGGTTCAATGGTAACATGTTGAGCACGGAACCTGGAGGTTCTGAGTCTGAATCTTGACGAGGTCATGCGTTCGCACTACTGAGGAGTCATATACTAGGACGAAACGCACATCCTGGATTTCACAAGTCGCCATCAAATAAACCAAAAATTACCGTTTGAAGAATGAAGAAAAAAAAAAGTAGAACGATAAATGATTATTTCTGCATAAAGTAACTTACATGAGTTAGAACGCTCATGGGACCACTGAAAAACCATGAGAATACACGCAGTTGTTCAGCCACTTCCAGAAATGTCTCCTTCTTGAATATCGTTATGAAAAAATATAGGGTAAAGTAGATAGTAAAATATAACAATAAGGATTAAGAGGGAAATGAATATAAACAACTCAATTTAATTTCAAGTTGTTATTCATCGAAGACTGACATCAGTTGGAGGAACAAAGGGAACCTGGGAGCACTGGACAGCTGTTTCGTCCTAGTATGGGACTCCTCAGCAGTGCGCACCCACGACCCTACCAGCAGGGGTCGAACCCGCGACCTTCAGGTTCCGCGGCCAGCGCGTTACCATTGAGCCACTGGGTCAGAATCCAATGCTCCATATTTCCAACTTCTGTTAGCTCACGATATATAGCTCAAACGCCACCCAATGTCATCGCTGAGTATCTGTCCTCATGGCCATCAGGCTTTGACTCCACCGGTCACGACTTCTCATTGGAACTTCGGGAATACTTCTCGAACCTGAAGGTCGCGGGTTCGATCCCGACTGGTGGGGTCGTGGGTGCGCACTGTTGAGGAGTCCCATACTAGGACGAAACAGCTGTCCAGTGCTCCCAGGTTTCCTTTGTTCCTCCAACTGATGTCAGTCTACGATGAATAACAACTTGAAATAATTCCAAATCTCCACGACTCCCTCAAAATTTAACTCAATTCAACTTTAATAATGCCAAGGTATCCGCATAGGAAACTATATGCCAGCAGTGGTGACTCGATTCAATCTGGAGTTATGATTCATTGTTTTAAGGAGATAACTTTCAACTAATGAGGCATAGCTTCAAACCTCGCCCTGAATACGGAGGTAAGTAGAATCATTAGCCTTAACAAGACAATGCGTGTAGGTCATTGTCTACTACACGAATGTACACAAGGTTACTGATTAACTGATTTCAGCATAACAGCGAGAAATTACAAATACTAATAAGTGTTTATATTGAATAATAGTACGGTAATTTTCATCACAGCTTGAAATCAGCTAAGCAAATATTGATCTCTATACTGGATTGTGAATGCGCATTATTTGAGTGTTCACAAAATGCAATGAAAAGCCTTCTATCTAGACGAATGCAATCTGTGGTGAAATCTTTCCCAAATTTAATGAATTCTTTAAAAACTACTCAAAAACCAGATTAGTACTACTATTATATTTGCAGTTAGTAGATAACAGCTAACTCAGTCTACACATACATGCTTTTCAGAAATCAACAGTAGGGTAACACACAGAGAGACAATATATCAGCTTAGTACTTAGTATTACTGCTATCCATACTATGGAAGGCTATTTCTTGTTGAAGTATCTGAAAAAGAAGGGTTAGTAATAGTGGTGCATGACTACAGAGCTTTATCGACATCTGCCTGAGACCAATTACGTACTGACTTTTGAGAAGTTCAAGATTCTGGTTCGTTTGTTTTGGGATCCAGGTTTAAACCCACATCACCGCTACTGGTAGACCACAGAGTAGGGGATGCATTATTTTGGAGACCAATCTTTTTTAACCCTCTTCCCTCCTATAAGGAAGTTAGCATCAGCATGGTACTTTGGATCACCTTAATGTTATCATAACCCCGTCCAACCAGTAGGATGACTTTACCTTCGGATACCCTTCATAGTGTAGCAATTAACAACATAACAGTAACCAGATTTTGTTCTTACCACTATCCAAATGAGCTTCCTAGTATTATAAAACCTCAAAGGGGCAAGTTTTCCACCAGCAAACCTCGTTCGGTCATTGTGATATGCAGCAACTATCGGTCAGGATATAAGGAACTGCCAATGAGAATCAAATCTGTGCCCTTTAATATCATAGTCAAATATCTTGCCTCTAAGCTATTCGTCGTTAAAATAACCCCTTCATACACCTAATTATATACAAATATCGGCAACCAAATGGCTGCATTCGCCAAGTATGCGAATAGGTAACTGAAATATGACCCATGTGATAAGGTAGTGATGTACGGAACATAAAGTTTTGTGAATAATTAGTCAACTATTTGTTTCCAAATACCTTATAAAAGGAATAATATTGAATAATTGTGAAGCAATACTCCGTTGTGAAACTGAATCAGATCCGATGTAATTCCAACATACTGATTAAAGTATGAGTAGAGTGGGAAGAAACCTAGACAGTATGGTGCTAGTCCATGAAGTTAATGACTTTTTGGTCTGAGTGGTAGGCTGACTAATTGAACTCTGCTATGTTAAATAAAAATCAACTTTTGAAGGTGCTAAATAAGTTTGTGACTTTGAATCAGTACCAAATAGTTGAGGAATTCTCTTTAGAAAAGATATAGTGAAGGGTTATGTCACAATTAGATATTACGAGAATTCAGTTCAAAATAATTAATTCATCTCAGTAGGCGAAAATGAATCCCATTCGCTTCGATGATGAAATTTATATGAGTAACGCGAAAATGAAGCGAAACGAAATGTGGTTTGAACAAAGTTCAAACGGACCATAGGATGGATGTGAATAAGTTATTTCCCATTGTTCATTAGGGTTCCCATCAATTGCTTAAAATCATAATCAATATCAACACAGGACCAGGCATTACTGCTAGCCATTCGAGTTGCCAGACTTCACATCACTACATCAAGTAAAAAGGCAGTGAAGTGGAAGACGAAGGTAAGACAATGCAGTCAAAAGAAATATAAAGTAGGAAAAGAGAGGAAGGAAGAATGCGAAAATGGTGAGATACGGTATAGGACTAAAATGAGGATAATGTGTGTATACATCTGTGCCACTCACTTCGAATCTAAACCATGCCACTCACAATCTCAAACCACTGGTTCCTCTTCTCCCCCAGACAACCAACACCTAGTCTGCATCGCCCATCATCACTAAAACCAACAGTCAACCACTTCATACATCACTGCCATGTTTGAATCTGGCCACCTCAAGCCTTTTTCCAGCCTGCATCTACTTCGGCCAACACCCTGTGACAAGGAAATCAGCGAATAGGCATACGCAACACGTGTTGCAGCCAACCGTCTCAGTCAATCAAGGTTCATAACCTCCTCGTCAACCGATTCACCTCTTCTCCATAAAAGTCTTCACCTGAGCCTGACTTCTGCGTTAATCACAAGATGACACCACGGAATACTTAGAAGGCATCGGTGGTCAAACACCAAAACCCTTCTCATATCTTCCACCTTCAATGCTCATCTTTCACAGCCATACAGTAGAACACACATGACTGCTGTGCAGCACACATCACCCTTAATACACAATCCGATATCACGGCAGCACCACACGTGGAGTAAGTTGCCAAAACCCAACTGAGCCTTTTGTATTTGTGTAGAAATTTCACCGGTTACTGAGTTACCAAGGGTAAACCTACTTCCTAGCTAAGTAGTGAAGTGATCAACACACTCAAACACTACACTTTCTATTGTTAACCAACGTACCGTTGAACACCAATCCTGGAGTAACAATTCCCATTCGGTTGGTGAAAAACGCATACCAAATATTCTCAAATTCCTACTCAAACATGTCCAGAAGACTCCATAGTTGACTTTATCTATCTGTCCAACAACAGATATTCTAGGATGAATTCAATACATTACATTTCATCTATTCTAAATCTTTCACGTAAATGTACACAAATTTTCACATATGAATAAAATCTACAGTGATTCCTTCTTCTATAAAGTAAATCGACACAATTCAGTGATGTAATTAGTAATTGACTAAGCTTTTCCATAATTACACGATTCAATTTACGTCCGAATTAGGGATAAACTTTTTGATGTAAACAAGTATAAGAACGAAAAAATGGTTATGCTGATAATAGAAAAAAAACTATCGATTAAAAGTGGTCAATGAAGTAACAGAATATTAGTCATAATTACAATGGTCTGTAATGATCAGAACAATGACAGAAGTGGATTTTCAGGTTAATAGGCACTAACATCAATTGAAGGGAAACTGAAAACCTGGAAGCACTGAGTGATAGAAGTAAGAAACTGTGGACCATTCAACTCTGACCCAATGGCTTAACGATTACCGCCTTTGCCATGCATGTGTACTGATGAGGAGTCACATGCTAGGATGAAACAGTTGACCAATGCTTCCAACTTCTCAATAATTCTTCAGATGATGTTAACCCATGATGAATGCTACTTGAATAATAGAAGTAATCAAACGTCCAGTTCACAAAGATACCAGATTTGATTTACGTGACAATAATAATTAACACCATATAGAACTGGTGTTACAGGTGGATAGAAAAACAAACTTAGTAATGAAACCGTTAACAATACACTAGAAATCACATTTAAATTGTAATGAATTCTAGTGAATTAATCATATGAAAGATAAAGCGACAGCTACTTATAAGGATGTATATAAGTAGTATATGGAGCAACATGGGGAATAATAACAATCAACTGAGAAACATTCACTCAAAAAGAATACACAATGCCGAATAGAAATATCAAGAGCAAGAACAATGTGAACAGAGATGAAGAACAAGAGGTTGTTTGGAAATAGGAATCATATTGTAAGCTTACAGTACTGTTATAATTACTTTCTCAATAAACAATATCTTCAACTACATCAAATTTCTCTTCAATATGTGAAGGATGTTTGTAGAAGGATAAGCTGGACAGTCGAGTAAAGGAATCCAAAAAATAATAAAACACATGGAAAACGATAAAGATGCATCAAATCGTCATGGTGCTTCGAAACATTGAAATGAAAAAGCAGGAACAATTAAGATTAAGGCACCTGATATGGGTTCATAAAAAACCAGTGTTAACACTACAACCACCTTGCCGTAACTCAGGATTAACCAATTGCGAAGAGTCCTATTCCATGTAACCTAATTTTCAACTTTCACACTTTAGATATCCCTTTATCTCGATAATGTGAAATAGTTTTATCATATTCTCTTAGCTTATTTCTTTCCTTATATAGGTAACATTTTACTGGTATTCCCCAAATTACCTACCTTTGGTATTAATGATAGATAGTGGCTAGCAGTGGAATTCAGGACGCGCGTTTCGTCCTATTTTGGGACACCTCAGCTGGATTTAACTGCCTCCTAGTGAGTGACGTTGTTCCCACAGACGATTAAATCCGGGACCGATGGCTTAAATTGTCAAAGCATTATCCACTATTCACTTTACAAAAGGAGTGGCTATGGTGACTCAGTTACCAGCTGACAAGTCCTAAATAGGGTGAAACGCACGTCCTGAATTCCACTGCTAGCTCCTATGCACTATTAATACCTAAATTGAAAATACAGGTAACATATCTAGGTATCCATGCAGGAACCCATATGCCAATGGAGACCGAAGTGGTCAGATCAACGACGGGATAACACAAGCAGTATCATATTATCTATCTTTATACTGGGGTGATGATTGAAGGTGGAATGAAAATTCGGACCGCAATTGGATTCGAAACAGCAACCACCACGTTTCCGGCCCGACGCTCTGCCAACTGAGCCACAAGGTCCTTTTTTCTTAGTGGGCCGTGGCCGGAACATCGGCTTGAAAACCCGTTGGTCGCTGGTACATTGGCATAACTTGGCCTATCTTTTTATTAGAAATATATTTTTAATGAATGTTTACCCACAATGGTGTTATTCAGTCTTTGGAACAAATAATTCTAACAATTAAGGTGATCACGGCAGTAATTTTGCTCGAAATATTACCAAAATTAAATAACAACATTGCCCATAAATATTCATTAAAAATATATTTACAATAAACTGATTCTGTTTACAATACATAAATTTTCCATGGATATAATGGTCTATCTTTGTTTACCTGATTTTATATCCACATTCCATTACATTTTATTTTCCCTCTAATTATGATGCGAAGTTGCGAGAACGAACGAAAATACTTTATGATTGATAGTGGAGGGTTGAGACAATTCAACCCCGAGTGATTCACAAAGAGAAATCAAATGAGTTTATAGTATCTCTAACTAAAAATCTTGATAAGTGAAAAAGGACCCTATTTATAGAGTTTATAGTAACCTTGAAAGGCAAGGAATAAATAGTGCATTTAAAGAGGTAGGAGACAATAAGAACAATAGCGGATCTTACGAAATATGACCCCCTGAGCGAGAAAAAGAGAGTGAAGTTATACATTACAAATATATGCTCAAACTGTAGGTGTGAAAAATATAAGGGATATAGGCATCTCCAACAGTTTTACTCATACAAATCTCATTATCTAAGTGAATACCATTTATCTGCACCTGCTAGTATGGTACAAGATATATGACCTTCTATGTAATTCAACATGAACCGATACCAGTTGGAGTACCAATGAAAACCTGGGAGCACTGGACAGTTTTTTTATCCGAGTATGGTACTCCACAGAATTGCACATCCATAATCTCACTAAGGATTAATAAGTCCCCATGAACCTTAAACTAAACTACTGTCTACTGTTCATTAGTGACATGTTTCGAGATGGATATTCTGAAGTTCTAATGAGAAGCTGAACAAGAAATAGATGTCCAATGCTTCCAATGATTCACCGAATAGTCAGTCCTAGACTAATGCTACCTTGAAATTAAGAAATTCTCACGAAGCTCAATCTAAACCCCAGTAATACTGAGAAGACCATTCTGGGACATCACACGTCAAGCCCTCGAGAGGAACCCAAATGGGAAACGACGAGTTGGGCGTCCCAGCTGAGGGTGACATGGAGGAGATTGTGTGAGGAAGAAATGAAAACTTATGGGCAGTCGTGGAGCCAGGTTCAAAAGACTGCAGAGAACAGAGTGAAATGGAGACGTGCTACAGAAGTCCTATGTTCCACTAGGAACCCAAAGGAAAAATAATAATGATAAATAAACCCTAGTAATATTTGATTCTAATATTACCTTTCACGCAAGACGTGAAATTACTCCTTATGATACAGATCCACTCTCATTTAACTTGCTTCAAATAATCAACATGAAACTAATTTTTATTCAACATATGCATAGAAATGTAGAACCATTGGAATTCTCACCTGTAGTGTAGAACTAGTTGAATCAAGTAAGAAGAAAAACGGTTCATCCAAACTCAACTGTTTTATACGTTTTTCGAATTCATAACTTTCATCAAAATGTTTTACTGCTGGTCTATGAAAGATTATTTTTAAAAGTAACATATATGAATCTAAAATATATACATCATAAAATGTTTTACTAGAAATTTTTCAGTCAGTCAGTCAGTTTATTCCTTGATAGATATCGGGTTGGTCATTCAAAATTGCTTTACAAAAGGGGACTAGCTGACAGTTGATGATTGTAAAAACTCTCAAAATACTGACCACTGGATGCCGATATTACGTGTTACCAACAGAAAATGACAGTTATGGTTTCTATTCTACAAACCATGTTTTGATTATATGAAGAGTTTAGAACTAGGCTAACAGGTCTACTTAATACACCAGGTGACATCACTTTGAAGCACACAAACAAAACTTTAGCATTAAAAAGCTTTGTAATTGATTAAGAAAAACAAGAAATCCACACCAAGTATGTAACAGATGACGAAACTACCTGGCCACCGATACCGTAGGAGATCGGGGTGAGTCTGAACCTACGATATAGTTGTTTAAATTTGACTGCCACGATTTATAGTGCATAGTGTACAACTATCCTTAAGCCCATGGCGCCACTTCCAACCAGTCCAAGGGAAGGTGAATAATGAGCGGTGAGGGGGTCATTGAGACAACATGCCTAACACACGCCCAATCCATCAAAGTTGATGTTTCAAGATGACCACACTCAATGAATAGTAATCAGCATAACACTCAGGCACAAGTCACTGCACCTTAGAATTATTTATACGGTGTCCCCATCGGATACCAACACTCCTGCAGAGATAACGATATTTTAAAAGACAAACTTCTTCTGGTTTTCAATATACAGTTGAAAATCTCATCAGTCACACCAGTAATACACGACTACCGAGATACACAAAACGGTTCACTTGAAGGGTGGACACAGATACAGACTTCTGCCAGATTTGTAGAAGCAATTTGATGACGCAAAACAAATACCATAGTTACGGACACCGATCGCTAACTGATTATTATTTGAGTAGCCTGTACGTTGCCACACAGTAAAACGATATCTTCCACGGACTCGAAGTCAAAAGGTTTTCCACCTAGTAAAAGGTTTACGAGATCACAGCCTTACTATCGAGAGATACAACGATTGTTTGCTTGCAATACGTGTGGCGGTATTCCAGTATCTGTCCTAGGGGTGAGCACGTGGTTGATACATTCGCGGCTTGAACGAAATCCGACCTTCTCTTTACGGACCAGTTTCTCACATATTTGGCACAGTGTTCAAAGTACTAGCCAATATTTTGGATGTTACTAGTAGCAGAATGATACTGCGATGATAATTACACATATTATCTAGATCCTTTTAAGAAATGGGTACAACAAAGCTTCATTCAAGGATAATGGAGCACTCTGACCCCACCAAACCTTCCCAAACAGATATAGCTACTACTCCCATCTCACTTGTGAGTTTTGTATATCAAACCTTGCAGCCCTTAAGCAAATGCAGTTTGATTTGTTGAAGAAATTACACACATCACTGTGGTCCATGTCCACTTGAAAGCACCAGAGCATTAAAAAGTCAAAGGAACGAAGCAGAAACCTTATTTTAATGACAGGATGTTCTTCAAAACCATAACCAGCACTACTCGCCATTTTCATGGTGTCTTGTAACTTCAGCCACTATTCATCTAAACTTTCTGGAGGTTTGATGGCTACCCCTTAATTTAGCTCGGTTCAGTACCTATCTACAATACTAAATAGAACCTGTTTGCTTACATCTACCCGACGGTTTGGATGACCACCAAAACACAAGATGAAGCCAGCACACACTGAAGCGTTGTCAGAGTCCACGCAGCTGTTGTAGAAGGAGCGGTAGTTATCAGCACACCCTCTTCATAGGTAGCTAACTCCAATATGATTTACTTGAGTCCAAGCTTGCGTGACAAAGGCAATAAACCAGATATCATAACAGTGATCGCTGGGCTGAAAGTTGATGCTGGTTAGGGTTAGGCTGTGACCTATGCATAGCTACAGAAGGTATTGCGTGTCATTTGATATGCGATGACTAATCCTCATTGACCACCTGAATGATCCTCATCTGAGTCCAGAGGCTCGATCTGTGCATTCAAGTCCCCAGCCAGCATTACGATATCTGTCGAGTGCACCTGTGGAGCTCACCCAATTAATGACAGAAAGCATCCTTAACTACATCTGGACTACAGTCCCTCGGGATATAGGCAGAAGTGATAAATAGACATCGTTTTCTTTGCCAGTTACGTTTTGCTTTAATCGAGCCTTCTAGCACAGCAGCACACAGACGAATGTCAATCAGTAGAGCTTCAGCTTTGGCACAGTGTGACACCCACACCGTCAAGGCCAGCTGCTAATGCTACATAGTTCCAAGATAAACTAACTGTTAATACGCTTTAGAGCTGATAGGTGGGGAATATATTCAAAGCAATGTATGCCGTCCTCTGAGACACACCATAAACCTACACCAAGGCTTTTCACAGTCCTGATGAAATCTGCTGTTATCTGATATGCAACAAAGACCAAACGTTGAAAGTGGTTAGATTGAAGGGACCACGTGGTTTTAGGATAGTTGATGCTGACGCTGGGCTGTAAAACTGCCTGGAAATCCAAACCAAAACAGGTGGCCACCTTAAGTGACCACTCTACAAGCCTTAGACTAGAAATCTGATCCACAAGGTAGCAGGGTGCCGTGAAACTGTATTGATATATTTGCCGGTGACCGACCTATATTCACATTTTCTTCATCCGTTCTGGAATGCGGAGACCATTTGCACCATTCGTTTAGAACTAGGGTTTTTTAGTTGTCGTAGATGCACCCTTTTTGTGCATCAGTCCTGAGACAGCACCAGACATTTTCTTTCATCCTATCACTTTAGTAGAAACACCCCCTGCCATGTGATGACAATAAATCGAATAAATGGATCATTCCAAGTACAAGGCAGTTGACAGCCACGTCACATGTTGAAGTGAAAAGGGAAGAAATTTGCATCTAAGATGTCTCAAAAAGTTTCTGAAGTTTACCTTTCTGCGTTAGTCTAAAATAATAAAACATCTTTTACAAGCATACCTGCCACAGTAAGTTAATTCGTTACTCCTACAAAATACATTGTAGATGATGTGCAGTTCATAAGTGAAACATCTACCAAGGTAGGCAATTTAAGCACTACCTAACTTGAATATCTATAGCTTCCCAAAATGTATATACAATTCAACAATAATAATATCAAAAAGCATCAAATTCAACAAAATTGTACTTAGTAGTTAACAGTCATGCCGTAAAAAGTTCCTTCTCAGCAAATAAGGACAATTACAACTATGTAGTTGAATGGAAAAACTTCAGGATCCGATAATATGCATTCGTTTCGATCCCATCTAGATAATTCAAGAATAATCTAGTTATTACACTCAACCTATCTACAAAGAATTCAACTGACTGCATTATCTAGAGTCGAGTAATTGTTAATAATCAGTTGAATGCGGTTCTACCGACAAAATAGGATTATGTATACTGTAGATTATATAGCTGAGATAATAACAATAACTATCTTGAGCATCTGACCTTTGAATAAAAATATGATGTACTCTCCAACTTACTGATACTTTAGAGAAAGACTGGTGATAAGTACTTTGCTCAAGTGGGTAAGTCTAAGTCATTCTGAGGTCTTATCATACTTATTATAGGTTACAGTATTCTGTTTGAAAATGCGTATTTTCTGCGTTCTGAACCTATTTGAATATTTTTAAAATGTAGTCTACCATTGAATTGTGTTACATACTATTTATTTATGTGTAAAGAATTAGCTGCACCTCTACTTCTTAATTGGAAAGTAAGTACAGTCATCTCTAAAGAATGTTGTTCATAAATCAAAGGGAGGCAAATGAAGTAAAAACGATCTACGATTGCAGTTTTCAATTCAAAATAGATGCATACAGAACACAGGAAATATGCAATTTTATACAACACGACACCACCTGGACGACGACTTTCAGTCTCACAAAATGTTAAATCTAAGATGTTACGATAATTTTCTGTGAAAAAAAAAATTACCAATCTTGAACATACCCATTGGCTCTTTGAGCAAAAGTAACAAGACCTTTAACAGTCCGATCGCCCATAAACGTGTATGTAACCGTGCCGTTAATACTGAATCAGAAAATGAAATCAAAAGTCACACAATTAAGGCACATTTGTTATCAATATACAGTCTAACGGGTTACAATGACCCTGATAACTTTATCTATAAAGGGCAATTCAAGCGACATCTACGACTAAAAATAACATACAAAAGAAGCAAAGTGAGCATTTATTACATTATTGTATTTTACACTCACTAATCATATACATCTGGAATTGATTAGAACATCATGCAAACGTAAATTTGGCATACGGTTCCTGTCATTCCGTTTCATAGTCAGATACTACTACACTGACACTACTCAGAAATTGGTTGTTTAAGTAAACTGACCAATCAAAATACGAGTTCGATTTATAATGAATAAATATAGGAACTCAGAAGCTACATGAGTAAACACATTCTCGAAGTCTATAAAATAGCTAGGAAACAGAAAAATCTCTCGAAAGTAAAAGTCGTTTCGGTATCGATATTCTTAAGATGCATGCTGTTCAAATGCGGTAACTTGAGTCGATGCTATTCTGTGCGAGATTCTACCTTAATTTGCTTGTCAGTCATATTTTTTCAAGATAAGTGCATGTAGTACTGTGGATACACAAAAAAAACAGATTTAAACCGAAAGTTGTTATTGAATGGTTACTAGATAAATAAAGTATGCATTTCCACAAAATACTCACTACTTGATCGTCGGAAATCCTCGTACATCAAACATCTTGGCTATTCCAGTATAAACTGTGGCATCAAGCCTTGCAACTTTAATTGAAGGTTCCAAATGAAACAGTAATTTACTCGCTTCTTCGTATGTACTAGCGAGACGGCGACAAAACCCACACCAAGGAGCATAAAACTGAGTTTTTAAGTTACATCTTGTAGACAGTTACCTGAACAAGCCAAGGACCCCTTTCAATAAAATCGACAAACCTGAAAAGCATCAGTTTTCGTATGGGAAAAACAAATATGATTTGAATACCTGTTATCTAACTCGAAAACTTCACATCTGATATGCGGTGATACGATTACTAAAAATTCAGTTTAAAAAAGTTGATGAACAAAACCTGTTAGGAGACAAATTAGAGAAATTGATAACATTGATAGGGTAAAAACCCAGATTTTGACGGATTTGAGGCACCCTTAAAATAAACTTCTGTTAGGTGTTGATCACTGTCTATAAGCCTTCACAGAAGAACCAGCCGGAATGCCACGACGACCTGGATAAAGAAAAATTAACCAAACCAATGCATAAGAGATGTAAAACCAAAACACATTAGTGAAATCTATACTCATTCAGACATCCTACGTGATCATTAACTGACATGGATCCAAGCAGTCTCTGTACTTATCTTCTAAAAACCACAACAAAATATTAGAAACAATAAACACAAGTCAAACCTTCTGTACTACTGAGTTAACCCCTCATTTCTGCATTCATTAGCTATTTTATGCGATCTTAGTTTTCATTTTTCTGCAAAGCAGCATAATGTAGCAAGAATTACTCGAATTCCTTCAAAAGCTTGAAATTAAGAATAGTAAGTGACGGAAACATCTTTAAGTGTCCCACAAAATATACACATTTTAGGCTGGGATTGCTCAAAGACTGACATCAGTTGGAGGGACATTGAAAACCTGTTCCGTCCTAGTATGGGACTTCTCAGCAGTGCGCACCCATGACCCTACTGTCTACGGGTTGAACCCAGAACCTTCAGGTTCCGCGGTCAGCAACTTACCATTGAGCGACCGGGTCACAACTCAATAGTCCACATTTCCTACTTCTGTCAGTTTAAAATATAGCGGGACCTACATCCAATGTCGACGTTGAGTAACTGTCCTCATGTTCGACTTGGTTGACTCCACTGGTCACGACTTCTCAATGAAACTTCGGGGATCACCTCTCGAAGCTAGTCACCAATGAGCGCTAGATCAATGTTCCTCTGCATGACGTCAGTCCATGAGGAATCCTAACCTAAAATCAATTAATAAACCCCCACAAACCTCCAGGTAAACTATACACACAATTGCTTTACAGAAATGCCGAACACCTGAGAAAAATTAGCGCAGTGAGAACATAAGTTGCTGCGAAATATTATTTATTCGCCGTTTTTCGGTATATTTAACGATTGTCTAGAGGATATCTCCTGAGTTTTTCCTGAAAGGATAGGTGGACGCCTAACGACATTCATTGCATGCTTAAGGTCACTTGGTAAATCGTCGGATTCAGATCGCTATTCCTTATAGTTACGAATATTCTTTACATCTGCCAACAGATTCAGCCACCCTACTCCTAAATACTTTGAATATGTAACAGCTTTTGTGCAAGAAAGTGGGTAAATATCAAACGTGTTGCTGCATTCGATGAAATTAAAAGCCTACGTTGCAGAAACTATCCTTGAATCTGTAACTGAAACACTAAGAGAGAACGAGTCTGCGATAATCAAAATAATCTGACTGAATAACATTCACCTATAAATACAACCAAAAACATTCGAATATGGAGAGCAATATTAACTTGCACATTGGTTATAATGTTAATTAAATGAATGATGCATTAACTCCAGATATCTCGCTAGTCCTATATTTTGGTGATTATTTCGTTTTCCATCAGTTCTTCACTGATGAAAAACAATACCTAACTACTGCAGTAGCCCAATCTAACAAAAATGCGAAAATAATGTGGGCGAATGCGCAAATAATGAGGTGAACTGCTTTAGTAATCCCATTGAGGCTGATATAATAGGAATTCTGCCCAAAATCTCCCTGAAGAGCGAAAATAATGCGGGCAATGCTGAAATAATGCAGAAATCGTCCGTAAACAGTGTGAAAATTATCCATAAATAAAGCTGCGTTACCGCACGCAGGCTTAAATTATGCTGCAAGTGCGTAAATTATGCGGTTAGTCCGTAAAAATCCGCTCAAACTTCCGATTTCGGCATTATTTCCGCATTCGTAACCAATGCATTGACATTAATTATTTACGCATTTACAGGCGTTATTTCCACATTCTTGCTAGACTATGAGTTCGAACTCCCATGAACGATCGTTCATGGATGAACTAATAACACCCACCGAACGAACACAATGTACAGTTTGGTGTGTGAAATTCAAACCCTTATGTAACGACCGGCTGTTGATAGGCTTTCGTCTATCCTGTACGTGGATACGTACGCTGCTGTAGGGGGGTTTGAGTTTATAAAGTCAACGACAGTGGTGACCACGAGAATGTGACAGGTAAAAAATAAAAACGCGATCCGACTCAGCAAGTACATAAGATGAACCAACACTTATTATCAAACAACAAATGACAAATCATCGACTGTTGAAAGTGGAAGATTGAGGTTGGAAATGTGCAAATCTACAGTAGGTAACGCATTAAATCGAACTGAAAACAGTCAATGTCCAAAGTCCCTCCATGAGTTTGCGTAAATTTATTGATTTCTTCACGCTCCCTTCTAGAGTTTGCAGAACAGTTCCAGATCTTTGACAGATTCTGATGCAGTATGTCTATCCACTAGCCTGCAGTAGCTGTGGTTAGCCCAACAGTCGGTAGGGTGTTCATTACATTTTCAGATTCAGATTTATTCTTTCAGTACACAAGGGTGGGAGCCCGTATTGATCCTTTTCCAGTAGATTTGTGTGCTTGTTCAAGCCCCTTTCGAATGAGTTAATTGATGATGTGGACACCACTACTTTTGGGAGTCGGCTCCAGGTGTTGGTTACTCGACGCGAGAACCAGTACTCTGCGGAGACCATGTTGGTTCTTTGCTTTTGTAGTCACCTACTACGTCCTCTGAGCTGATCCGACCTAGTGGGGGGGGAAAAGGGAAGATAGATCAGGTCCGAAGTCATTTCTCAGAATCCTGTATAGCATGATTAGGTCTCCAGCAAGAAAGTCTCTTATCCATGCGAGCAAACTGCCAGTGATTCCAAAACTTGCCAGTTTTCCGAGCAACCTGGAATGAGGTACTTCGTCGAACGCCTTGCTAAAGTCAATGAAAATGACATCTGCAGGTATCCTATCATCTTCAGACTTAACGCAACTTTCTCTGGCTGTAAGAAGATTTGTCATTCAAGAGAAATTTCTACGAAAACCGTGCTGTGAACGAGACAATAGAGTGTTGCCCTCTAGGTGGACTATGATGGCTTTCTTGATTATTCTTTCTAGGACTTTCACTACAGTACTAGTCAAACCTATCGGTCCGTAGTTTGATGGGAGCTTCCTAGAACCCGCCTTGTGGACAAGTTTTACTATGGCACCCTTCCAGTCACATGAGAGTATGCCTTCCCCGAGAGACAGTCCGAATATGGTAGTCAATGGACCAGCTACATGAAGTGCAAGCTCTCTGAGCAGCCTTGGGTGCAGCTCATCCGATTCCGCTGATTTTTCCACATCGAGACTACTTAATATTCGAAATACATCATTACGATCAACATCCACAGATATCAACGCTTCTGCTGCTGCATAAGTGTCCGCAAAAGATTCTTGTGTGAAGACCTCAGCAAAATATCCAGCCATGGCTTCTGCTTTTTCCCTACCGTCCTCAATCAAACAGTCATTTTCTGCCCCATTGATTACGGCGGGTATACCGCGACGCGTCTCATTCCCATAGTTCATATAGGAAAATAACCTCTTCGGACGTCGCGATGTAGCCTGTGCATATTCAAGACCAGCGGATAGCAGCGGTACATTTATGAGGGCTTCTTTGTAATGTTTCACCATCTCGAGCTTACCGAGGTGGGTGGCAGGACTCCAACACTTTTTCTTACGTCATAGAAAGATTCAAACTCCGTGGTTTGTCCTCGGAGGACGTTTCTATTCCTTGGGGATAGTCCACGGAACTAACAGTTGGGTCACTCGTGCGTATGGATGTTTGAAGGAGCACTGCGCACCTTCAACTAAGGCTTCCGGAATGACCGTCCAGTCCCCAGAAGAGGCTGCCCGGTTAATAGCTTTCATATTCGCCTCCCACATTTTGGGTCTAGCTGGAGCATTGGCCTGGCACAAGACGTCTGCTGTGAATCTGAAGGTGATAACAGCGTGATCACTTTTGCCAGGGGGTGCTAGGTGCCGGATGAAGCGTACACTATCTGTATGTGAGAGTGCTATGTCTGGAACTGGTGGGCATGCTAACGATCATACCTGGTTGGCGTCCTAAAGTGCTTGTTGGGGACTAAGGAAATTGATGTTTCCGCTAACAGGTGGTCAAACTAGTTACGTTGTGCTTTCGCCGTTGGTCTATCCCAGTCAACTGATGGTGCGTTGAAGCCTCCCACAGCTAGACATCGGAATTTTTCTGTCTAGAGGGTCAGCTTACTCAGGTGGAAGTCTGCTGCCTTACAATCAGGACTTCGATATATCACGATTACGTTGACATATTGCCCCTTGCATTTAGTCGGCAGCGCAGCATTTCACGCGTCCCACTTTTATACGCAACTGTTTCTACGGCTTTTACGGTTAAGTTATTCTTGACGTAAGGGATGACGCCACCACCACCGCGTGCTGGCCTGTTACTTCTAAAAGTGAAGAATCCTGGTTAGTGTGCTTCACAGTTACTGATCCAAGAAGAGAACCAAGTTTCTGGGATGGCAATGGCATAAGGGCTTTCGCTGCTTATCGCATTGCTAAGCTCGCTCCAATTGTTTAGGAGGCTATGTGCATTTGTGTACAAGAAAACGAAACTACTTAAGTGAGTTTCCGTCCTATCCATAGAGGCTTCTGCATCACCTGCTGCCGAAACCTCACTACACGAAAACCCACGAATTTCCGGTCTTGTTCCCTATCTGCTAATCTGGATTTCGGTTCTGGTTCTGTTTCTAGTTCTGCTTCTCGTTTTTTTGCTTCGATCAGCAAGAGCCGGGTCCTCATGCCCGAACACTCTAGATCCTTGAAGTCTGTGAGCATTCCTCAGAATCTGATTCCTTTCATCTGCTGACTTGAACACGGCTTTGAGCGGCCGAAACTTATTTCCAGTTATGACCGTCTCCTGTTTCGCCCATTCAATGTATCATGAGTAGGGTGACTTCTGGCATGTTTTCTGGTAAAAGCTGGTCCATCAAACTTTGTACCTTGCCAAGGTCATGTTCGAAGCGTTTATGTGGTTCTGGGTCTTCGGTTTCTTTCACCCTATGGAAAGTTACGCGCCCGTCAGGGATCTCGACTTTGTTTTTGCTCTGTGGAGTGGTGGTAGCTGGCTCGGCTACCGTTACTGGCCTCTTAGCATGCTGTTTGGGTTCAGTTACTTGCCATTTTTCAGAGTCGGGTGTGCAAGGTTTACTAAAGCCTAATCCAGTGACCCTGGTACTGACAGCTTCAGAACAGACTTTTATCGCATTCTGTGTAAATTTCGTCAATTACTGGGCCGCCGAACTGGGTATGACCTGCGGTCTGCATGTTCCGCTGTTGGAGCTGAGAGCGCTTCACTCATCTGAAGTAGACCTAATCTTACTGTCAGCAGTTTTCAGACTGCATCTGCCAGCCCTGAGAATGCAAGATCCGGGAGACACTCACTTCACCCTGCCTGGTGTAGTTGTTTCCAAGTTGCTGTCAGCAAACCCAGTAGGCAGTCCATGCATCCGACTTGCAGCTTGGCGTGAGACGTTCTTAATCTTTCGCACAGCAATCTATATGTCAACGGATGCTGTGTTTTTATCACTTTAACAGTTGTCCGCTTTGACTTTCGACGACAACTTCTTAGTTATCGTGTTTAGAGGTGTTTTTGCTTCTTCTACTATAGTGAGAACATCCGAGCAGCACAACGTACAAGGCCAGACACTTCCTGCGTTGCTGTACCTCTTGTATGCTGAGGGTGTGAGGCCTGTACAGTTATCGTGGAACCAACCCTTACATTCGCTACACTGCATACCACAGGCCACTGTGAGGTGGCACCTGGCCCTACCACTAGCATTTTTCTGACACTTTTGGCTCACCGTGAAGCGGAAACTACAGAAATTCACCCAGTAAAAGTCCCCGTCTCACTTCGCTTGGATAATATTTCGATTCGAGCAAAATTACAATAGCCTTCGACGTGCAGACGCAAAAATGACAAGAATCTAGCTGAATGTGAAAAGTCACTCCCCTTTTCAAACATCGTATGATTGCTTTTCGTATGATCAATTCAAGGGATGCGGTGTATGTGGGCTCCTCATCTGACGTGCTAGCACACAGCTGTTCACACTGGCTGCATCAAGAAAATAGAAAAGGTGTCCGGAAAAATCGAGGGAGAGGCTGTGTAAAGCAAATGAAATGTAAACAAGTGAAAGGAAGCGGAGTAGGAGGGATGGAGAAACCTGGGTAGATTCATGAGACATAGGTGATAGGGGAACTTCAACAAATTAGGCGAGATTTCAGAGTCAGAGGCGAGGGAGGAAGCAAGTAAAAATTGGTGAACGATGGTTCATTGAGTTCTGCGTGTCTTATTGAAGTACGTTCTGGGTTTGGAATGGTCACAATTACCTTCCTGGTTCCAAAGTAGCTGAACGCAAAGAGATAATCGATTGGTAATCATCCTGGTCTCAAGGCAGTATTGCTCCTCCGGGTCTGTAGATGACGGAAGGTTTCTCGAATACACCCCCATTGGCACCATAAGACACTAGATGTGCTTTTAACCTCCTTTCAAAGTATCAGGAGATGGGGCTGCAACAGCGACTAAGAGAAGGAGATCCACAATTTACAAACTCTCGCTCTGCACTGAAAGAGTCACCTCTAAGATGGCTTCTCTGATTAAATCTTATGAGGAATATGTTAGGGTGAAGGAGATTATGGCAGCATGACACTTCATGATCATTTCCCTTCTTGCCTCCGGTTATGTGCTGGTTTCAGCTTTAAAGCAACCGAGAGATTCAGGTACGCAGTTCAGCGTAACGCAATTACTCTGTTCGCAGCTCTTCTCTGAGCCCCGATCTGGGATGGCTATGTCCTTCGAACACAACATAAACTGAGGAGACCAAGAAAGAAATACTTTGTTTTGAATGAATTTCATGTACCGAATTAGATACATTCAACGTTCCTCTTAATTCAAGAAAGACGCCGAATGAAGGAGCTGGCTGAAGAGCGTAGGGCTTTTGATAGTTTGTCGAAGACGCGAAACCTTTGCAGTGTGCTGCGAAAGCGAAAAAGTACAAAAGACGCTTCAATGAATCACTCACAGCGTGAAGATGTAGGTCTATAGATGATTTGTGAACCCAGTGAGTGGCTTCTTAATACTATTAGTATGCCCCTAGCTCCAGACGTCGAGGTATTCTGCACAAGTAGTAGCACGATATTATTATTTTTATTATCAGTCCCTTGGGTTCCTAATGGAACATAGGGCCTCAGTAGCACGTCTCCAGTGAACTCTCTCTTCCCTGAAATCTTTTTAACATGGCTCCACGACAGCCCACAAAC